CATACGCTCTGCAATGCGGCCAAAGCTACAGACTTGATCCGTGAGGCGTATTCAGAGCATTTTATGAGGTGCAAGCTCCACCCGGTTGAATCAAAGAGGCCATCGATGCTGTAGTCGCATCAGCTTAAAGAAGTTATAGCAGCGAGAAGGTGCAGTAGCGCGCCGATGCTTCGGACAGCAGCCTTGACCTCGTCAAGGTGCCATCAATCTGCTCAAATCACGAGGCTTCCGTCAGTGACTAACTTGCGAGAAATGGCGGAGAGGAGGAGAGTACTCGCACGACCACACCACCGGACCGATGCGTGGTTGACGCAGTGCAAAAGGCAGCGAAAACAGTCGATCCACCAACGAAACGAGGCAAGGGACATGTAGTTACATCACTAGCACCCAAACGAACGCCTCACAAGCTGCCTAAGGAATCGAAAGAACTGGAATTTGCGACTGCGCGACGCGCAATCACGAGGCAAGGGCATTGTCTATACATCCTAGCGCGATAGAGCAACATGCACAACGAAAGTACTGTACTGGTTGCGAAAGCGCACCGCGGTCTTCACCAGCTGCATTTTGGTGCGTGCAGAAGCAATATTGCTCAGCAAGATCGACCGCAATCACAAGCCTGAACATGCGCGCTGCCGGTAACCACGACCCCACCACCGACCACCGGACTGCACGCAACACTAACCCTATCACTCGTCACCACAGCACCAATGCAACTGTTGTCATCACAAACATTGACCCATGTCACAAACCAACGACACAAACCCGACACGAACGACTGAAGCCGGCACTTCACCACGATAGAACGGCGACCGCTGCCCTTGAACTAGCCTTGCCCTTGAACGCTATCGCGGTTTAGTAGTGAACTGACCTATCGCATATCGACAGCATGAGATTTTTCAGAGAAGAGAGCGCAACTCTACCGCGGCATAGTTTGAGTGACGTGAGTTTTGTCGGAAAATACATCAACCAACGAGCAGTCGCCGTACTTTCATCGAGCCAGCAACGTTGGGATAGCTTTGACTCGCGTAACGCTGGACGCGAGCCAAAGCCATCTCAACGTGGGGCTCGACGAACGTTAGAAGGAAAAATACGCGGAATGGCTCAGGGGGCGAAAAGGGCGTATTGCCTGAATTACCGCCCGGCGCCCCAGCCTCGGGGGAGGAGTGGCGGGTTGCTTACCGGGACCCGCTTTCTAAAATGAGAGTGACTTCGCAGCACCTTTAGCTCTCGAAAAGATCGTTTCAGCTCCTTGTCTCGCAAAACCCCCCAAAAAAGCCACAAGGTGCTGGTTGGTATCAGGTACTAGAACGTTGTGACGGCGCGTCCGCTGTCGCTGGCTGGCTTGAGAGAAGAAGAGGTGATTGAACAATGACTTGGTTAGCCTGAGCTTAGACTTGTTGCTAGACACGCGCACTAGCTACTAACTAACCCTAATCTTCGTCCGATCCGCATGGAGCACGGCTCGCTCAGACCACGGAGCACGGCTCACTCAGATCAGAGAAGGACCTCTGAATCTCGAGATTCGCCACATACTCCCCTCCTAGAGGTCCGGCTACTGGGAGGAAAGCTCGTCGACATCATCCATGCGGCGACGACGACGTTCGTTAAGCTCCTTGATCAAGCGCTGGAAGTGCGCAACGTGCTTGACGTCCTTGACCAGTTCCCACGTGGCCTCATGTTCCGGCAGGCCCTGCCACTTGACGAGGAGCTCGGGCTTGCGGTTGAACGTGCGCTTCTTGAGGAACGCTTCGATGACGTGGAGCTCTTCTCCGGTCTTGTCGTCGAAGACAATGGGCGTAGCTTTGGGCAGCGGGCGACCGTCGTACTGGGCTTGGTGCGGTGGAGCATTCTTGAGGTGGTCGACGTTGAACGTGTTGGTGTCGAGCGAACGCATACTGGCGGGCAACTAGAGATTGTAGGCGTTCTCGTTGACCTTGCTGATGATCTTGAACGAACCAATCCAACGCGGCACGAGCTTGGGACGCTCGTCGCGGCTGAGGACTTGGGCGTGTTTCAACGGGAGATCGCGCGTCGCGAGCATGACCATGTCGCCGACCTTGAACGTCGTCAAAGAGCGGCCTTTGTCGTAATAGCGCTTCTGACGCTCTTGGGCACGGCGCAGGTTGGCTTGGGCGAGCGCAATGTTGTCTTGTCGTTGTTGCGAAAAGTTCTTGGCGTACTCGTTGCTCATGCCGCTCGTGTCCGTCCACAGCGGGTTGCGCAGCTTGCGACCGGTGTCAACTTCAAATGGCGTGAGGTTGTGCGACCCGTTGACCAGGCCACAGTGAGCATACTCGATCGTGCCAAGATGATCCGACCAATCATCGCCGAGGTAGGAGCACATGCAACGGAGCGAGTCTTCGAGCGTGCGGTTGGCAATCTCGCTCTGGCCGTCGGCTTGGGCGCGGTGTGCAGTGGTCTCGAAGTGCTTGATGCCCATGTGCTTGATGAGCTCGTTCCAAAACTCGCTGCGGAAGCGCGGGTCTCTGTCCGAGACAATGACCTCGGGCAAACCGTGGTGGCGAACCACCGTGTCAAAAAACTCCTTGGCGGCCTTGGCGGCATCCGTCGTCGTGTGCGTCGCGCAGTATTTGGAACGCTTGCTGAGCTTGCACGTATACGTCATGATAGCGTCGTAGCCCTTCGAGACCGGAAGTCCAGAGATCCAGTCGACCGTGACGGTGTGCCAGCAACTGTCCGGGACGGGTAGCGGCAAAAAGAGGCCGTTGGGCTTCGAGCGGTGCGACTTGTAGCGGACCACGAGCTTCCACTGGCGGTCGTTGCTGCCAATGAAGTAGAGGCCGTCGGCGAGCACAAATTCCTTCTTGCCGGTGGCGTACTTCTGTGTCCTAGCGGTAGGCCTTGGTGTACCATGCCTTCGTCGACTCGTCAAGCTTGACGGACGTGAAGTCGACTTCCTAGACCGTGTTGACCTTGATCGTCTGCGGCACCCAAGGGATATAATAACAAAGGGTGGTCATCGACCCGAATTTCAAGATATTTTTATTCGAAATGCCAGATCCAAGGTCCAGGTAGCTTGTTGTCAATTCCAAGGTATTTTTATTCCACCGCGTGAGAGATTGGAAACCGCCGGATACCATCCGGACTTGGATGCTGCGGGATTGCGCATCACGATGTGGACATGGAGATGCGAGATGCAGCACGAGATGAGCGATCAACGGTTGCCCTGCGAGCGATAGACCGACGTACGCATGTACTAAGGAGGATAATCGGTCAATTAGTAGGTCGAGGCTAATCTACTTGGCGTTGCGCTTGGCGTAGGGTCCATCTTTGTCATCTTCATCTGGCGACTCTTGACCGGTGCCGCTACCGGTGTCTGCGCCTTGCGCTTGCCTTGTAATGGCTGTGGTGTCTTGCCCGTCTCCGCCTTGAGCTTCTGGCGCAGAGCGAGGGTGCCCGACTTGTCAACGTGGCGGCCGAGGTACTGGGCCGAAAATCGGTGAACGACAACACCAATGCGCGCATGCATTGAAGCAGGGCTCGCATCGCGCATCCGTCACATGGGGCGGCATGACGAAAAGACAGTCGTTGGAGCGAGCGACGCCACGTAGCATGCCATAGCGCTCGTGGCCCGCAAGAAGCGTCGCAGCCTCGGACGGCAGACCCAAGCAGTAGCGCACGGGTGGCGGACGCTCGGGCTGCGGCTGCACGGCGGGCACTTGAGCTCGAGCTTTTTCCTCTCTGTTGAGGCGATTTCGGCATGACTTGCACATCCCGTTCACCAGCTCGAGCCTCGTCTTCTGAAGCTTGCAGTCACCGACGCACCGATAGCTCTTGGGCTTGGACGCAGGCTTGGGCGCTGGCGACATGGCAGTGCAACTCTTTGTTTTGAGCAAGGCCCCCATTTCAAAAGCGGCGATTGAGACGAATATGATAAAACCGTACCAGAAAAGGTCTCGCTGCCGCACGCGAGTTCGATGGAGGATCCCTCGAGATCCCTAACACCGTTTTAACAGTAGACACTTATCGCTTTGATCAAGCTCGTGTCCAAATCTTGATAGCAGGCATGCATCCGCTACAGCTCAACTCGATGATCAAAGATGCTCACTCTGGGACCATCGATTTTGGCAACTCGATCCAACATTTATCCTAAACTACTTATCGCAGCGCCACGCGTCATAGCTTGTTCGATGCGCAATGATCTTGCGCATCGTAGCGCACTATTGGCGCAGGGCAGCGACCTTTTCTACGGGAGATAGACCCTTAGATCCGGGCGCTCGACGTGCGCGCCGCCGTCCATCATTTTATTCAAAAGTCATTATTTTTTAAAAATGTGCCAAATATTTTTATTTGAAAACCCTCCGACGAGGTATGGAGAAGGTAAGCTTACCATGGAAACGAGCAATCATTTAAAAAACCCTTCGATGACCACCCTTTGTTATTATATCCCTTGTTATTATATCCCTTGGCGGCACCATGGGCGGCAGCGTGGCCAGCACATCCTCCCCCGACATGCTGCCCAGCAGCATGTGGCGGTCACGCTCGTCCAGCACCATATTGTGC